AAAAACTCTTTTCCTTTAATCTAACATAACTTAATCCTCTTTAAGTTTTAAGAAATCTTAAGCTTTCCTTAAGCTTTTCTGTCACCCCAAGAATCAAAACCAACTTAAAAACGAACGAATTAACCAACTTGAGACCAACTTATCTTAGTTATGGTGTCACGGTGGAGAGGGGGAAGAAGATTACTCCAGAGCTTTCTTTATTTTTTTCTTTTTTTCTTTTCTTCCTTATCCACGTGGTACTTCTTTTATAAGGGAAAAATAAAAATCCTTCTTGCCAAATGACCATTATACCCCTTACTCCATCAATTATTTACTAGAACATCATGCATAAAATATTGCTAATTAAGTCCCTGAACTTTTCAATATTTTAAAATTATACTTCAAAGTTTCAAAATTTATATTTTAGTCACTAACCCTGATTTTAGGATATTACAATAAGAGTAAATTCCTGAGTTTATTACTCTGAAATAATGTAATTGATGGAATGAATAAAAATGAGGGGATGATCTCTCTATTTATAGTTTAGGCCTTCAAGATCCGACGGTCTAGATTAAATACATCAACGGCTTAGATTGAATCATACCTTATAAAGAACTCTATCTCTAAGAAATTTGAATTCAAATACAACATTATCCCTAATTAAGTATTTATCCCCTTAATTATTAGATAATATTATCCTTTATAGAACCTTCTGAGGAACGGGCCAGGTCTGATGGTTCTGGGCAAGCCTAACACTCTGTACGATTCTCCTACAAAAATCCGTGTACACATGTCTCGATCCGAATCCATAGCCTTGAAAAAATTTCCCCCATCGAACGTCTAACACGCTCGTCACTTCTCTCGGACACCTTGGACTTGATCCTTCACAAACTCGTAAGCATTCTCCAAGAACTGGACCAACTCATCATGCCCAACAAGCCCAAGTCTGCACACATATAACCCCTCTCGTGAACATTTGCGTCAATGTCCATAAACCTAAACGTTTAGTCCGTGACATCCTCCCCTACTTGATCTAGCGATGCCCTCGTCGCTAGGTGAGAACACTTGGTCTTGATCACGTTGAACGCTCTAACAAAACACTCTAGCTTGTTTGCCTTGGTTAACACTGTTATATCTTATCACAATCTAACACACCGTGGCATACATCTCAAGCGTAGGAAATCCATCCTACCCGTTTGCATTCACCCAAAAAAAGGATACTTTTGATCCAGTGGCAAAGACTTGGATAATCTGGCAACATACAACACGACATTCAGATTCATCAGCAACACTCGCTTGGCCCTAAGTACTCTGAAAGTCTCAGATGTCCCTTCCAACCTTTGATAATTCCGTAAAAAGATGGTTAGGTCCTCTACCTACACTCATCAACAATGGCGAATCAAACTCGACACTTGGAACATGTTTGAGATGTCATTCGATCTCCCTCAGAACATTTACTTTATGTGTCATCCCTTCTTACTCCATGAAGTATAGCACTCCACACACCAACACCTCTATCCTAAAGTTCAGTGCTTCTACTCACATCGACACTTATTCCCTTGAAGTCTGGTGCGAATTTTACCCTCTTAAATAGGTGGCAAGCTCTCACCCATCATATCTCTTGAAGGCTTTGACTCCATCAACCACTTCTTAGATGTCTCTTTGATGGTAGTCCCCAAAACAATGCTCATTTCCCTCAGAACATCATTAACAACCTAAATGGTCGTCACGGTCTTAGTCGCTCCCCTACTGTCTCGAAACAAAGACACAATACATTGTCATCGGATCACTTCAGTTGCTCATACTTATTTACCCTCGGCTTTCCTGCTTGGTCCTTGGCCTTCGCGTCGAGCTTTACTTCATTTGGGCAACTATTGGCCCTATGTGGTCCTTGACATAGGAAACACTTTAGTGGATCTCTCTTATTTACCCTCGACTTTCCTATGCCACTCACCTTCACACCGTGCTCCGCTCCTGGCTTGACTGCTTCGACACCCGCAGTCACACCATCTTTGGCTACTTCCCTTTCTAACTTGTGTTCTCCTTTGACAATGGCAGCAAGGTGATTTTTCTCGGGACATCCTCTTATCAAGTGAGGACCATCACAAAAGTAACATTTAAGTGGCTTGTTGCTCTCATTCTTCTTTGACACGAGCTTGGCCTTGCCATGATTTCTTGATGGCTTTATCCAACCATGATTAGTCGATGTCACTTCTTGGCCACTCGAAGAGCTCGTCACCTATCCACTGTCCCTTGTCATGGTCTCCCCTATTTTCCCCACTATCTTCGGGCATGGGCCTGGATGACCCATTTTTAGTTGGCTTGACTTATGCAAGATCATACCTTGATTGGGCTACAGCTCCAGCTTCCGAACAACTTTGCATCCTCTTGCTCACTGGCAGGCGTTACCCTTGATCTAAGCCCTGCGATGAATGTCTTGAGTACACCATCATCACTAATTGCTTATTTGCTTATGAGTAGCTCGCTCTTGAGCCCATCCATCTCTTCCCTCAAAGCCATCACCTCCACCCTGAGCATATTACCCATCTATATTAAAGTCCAATCTTTGAGACTCCGTTGTGCCACATCCTTGAACCCTTCACTCATGGACTCTAGTTGTTCAAGATGGGACTCAACAACTCTCTGAAACTCATTGGCTTCCCCAGCGAAGCTTTCAAGGTTCTTTATCATTATCTCCAATGATCATGGGATAACTCTCATACTTTGTTTCCCTAGCTCGACCCCACACCGTGACTCTCCACTTTATTCTCGGTGGGAACAACTTCTCTTTGTTGTATCATATCGATCATTTTCTACAAAACTTATCTAAAACACTTGTTGAATCCATAACGACTTCATTTAACTCGCTATGATGCTTCTTGTCAAAAAATAAGCTCGGATCACTATTGAATTCACAACACCTACACTCTGACTTGCTCTGATACCACTTATCATGGGGCTAGACTTCTGCTAGTCGATTCGTGTGGTACTTAGATGATTTTCAGGTTGAAATAGCGCCTAAGTCAGCCTTAACCACGTCCTTGGTGAGTCTTTGGCTCACTAAACGACGAACAAACCTAATAGGGTTAGGCAACAATGCGGAAGCAAAACACCACTAGGTTAATCCAAGCCACCAAGGTTGAATGGATCTTAGAAACATGAGCACTGTGGGGACTTCCTAAGTCACCACGACTTGAACCAATTTGGAACTTCGAAATGAACTATTATCGAGGCTATCTCAACCCTCACGTTTGACAACACAAGCTATAAAGACTTCAACACAAAGAGGAACAAGTTGATAAGGCTAGAAAGCTAGAAACAAAATAACTCATAGAGAAAGTAAGAGTAAATGCTTGAGTTTATTACTCTGAATGAATGTAATTGATGGGATGAATACAAATGAGGGGAGGAGCTCTCTATTTATAGTTGAGGCCCTCAAGATCCGATGGTCTAGATCGAAATACATCGATGACTTACATTGAATCCTACCTTATTAAGAACTCTATCTCTAATGCATTTGAATTCAAATACAACATTTTCTCTAATTAAGTATTTATCCCCTTAATTATTAGATAATATTATCCTTTATGGAACCTTCCAAGGAACGAGTCGTGACTGATGGTTCTGGGCAAGCCCAACACTCCAACCGATTCTCCTACAGAAATCCGCACACACAAGTCTCGGTTTGAATCCACAAGGACAAAATTGCCCCCATCAAAAGTCTAACACCCTCGTTGTTTCTCTCAAACGCCTCGAACTTGATCCTTCACGGACTCGTAAGCATTCTCCAAGAACAGGGCCAACTCATCATGCCCAACAAGCCCAAGTCTGCGCACATAGAACCCCTCTCGTGAACATTTACGCCAATGTACATGGACCTAAAAGTTTAGTCCGCGACAATCATCAACAATGGCGGAGCCACAGCTTGGTGATACCCACCCTTAAATCCAATTCGATTAGTTACTTATTTTATGGATGATGCTCACCCTGAAATTTATCGTGTTCACCTTGAACTTTAAGTTTTCTTCGATTAGTTATTTATTTTACGGACAGTGTCCAACAGAAATTTTATTTGTAATCATCTCATTTAAAAATTTAATATACAATTACCATATGTATACCCACCTTTAAAAATATTTCTAAAACCGTCACCGATCATCAATAAGTTAAGAAAATTCTGAAGTACTTTATAATTGCCCCATTTTTATAACATTCAGGTCAGTCGTAGTAGGTTTTTGTGCTTGTCACTATGGAAAAGGAATATAAAAAGTAATGTTTAGCAGCAAGAAGCAGCGGCTCATCAGTTAGAATTGCCGGTTCTGGATGGCGCACTAAGCACGATAGTCCACTGTGTATCTCATTCTGCGCACATGGGCTAGATGGACATTGTTCCATACCAAACGAGGGAAAAGTGAAAACTAAACAATCTTAACATTCGAAATGGTGTTATTATTTTCGTTAATCTCACTCCAGTCTTTGGGGTCTGTTTTCAAGTATTGGTACTAAGAGCTGACCCCAATGTGGTTAATGAAGATTCTGTTGAATTGGGCAGCTTCCCAAGCATTAAGACGTCCAATGATACTGTGGATGTGGAAAGTTACTTCTGTTCTCCCTGAATCTAATTATTAAGAATGATTAGGATTTGTTTTGGCCATACTCTGAGGAAAATGGATGGTAGATCAGAAATCATTGCTGGGAGATTCGGACAGGGGTCACATGAAAGTTTTGGGTTGACCCGTGTCATGTGGCTTGACAGGCTTTACTTACAATGTTTGCATATGATAAATTTCCTCCAAGTTTTCATAATATCAGCTCTCAAATACTAAAATCAAGCCTACGACCGGTCCCAACACTTGAACTTCGACCCACGTGAAGATTAGTAGTCATGATTGAACTGGGGACCACGCGTTTCGACCGTATTTCGTTGGTAATGGTACCCAATGACAGCGAATGCCTTATATGTAAATGCAATGTAATCTTCTAAAATGTATTCATCTTTCCCTTTGCATATGTAAATGCAATGTAATCTTCTCCCTCCCCTCCACACTAGAAGTAAAAAAGAGGGGGAAAAGACTGATTTAGAGAAAGGTAAAACAATGTCGCCTTAAAGACTCGACTCTTTCCAGATCTGTGTTTGTTATACGACATTTTTCAAAACAAAGTATTCCTGTTCCCTGTTTGTGTATTCTTAAGTAGACGAAGCAAATGGAAGACACCAAACTTCTTGTTTGCTGTTTCATTGCTTGCATTTTGTTGCTTTGCGTCAATGGAGAAAACCCTTATCGGGTTTTCACCTGGAACGTCACGTACGGTGATGTTTACCCTCTTGGTGTTAGGCAACAGGTACCTTTTTCCCCCCTCTTTTCTGGTTTTTGATCAAGTAAGGTACTTTTTACTTTCTTTGATTTGGCGTTTGGGAAATGCTTGATTTTTGTGAAAATGTGATGCAGGGGATCTTAATAAATGGGCAATTTCCAGGGCCTCACATCGATGCAGTGACAAATGATAACCTCGTTATCAATGTTTATAACTACTTAAATGAATCATTCCTCATTTCTTGGTAAACTTGCTTCCTTTCTTCTCTTTATTTTACTTCAGCATTTGCAGGGAATGAATTAGGTGTGAAACATTGGAAGCTTGACATTTGCCCACTATGCTTCTTACTGTTCCAAGTAAATGCCTTTTTGTTTCCATTGGTTGAAAAAAGGTGCACTAAACTTTTAGCTTCAGGGAGATAATAAAATAATGCCCAATTCTTTCATGAAAATGAGATATTGGGCTATTTTTTATATATTATCCTGTCTATTTAATTGTGCATCGTATTTGAATCTATGTTCATAATTTTTTTCAATGTTTGAATTTGAATTTTTTCCTTGAAAATACAACTTGACTTACCAATGCATCGGATGATAATACCGGGCTACTTGTGTAATTCAGGACTGAGCGTATCCATGATCCTTTTGTCTGGAAGTCCATATTGAAATAGATAGAGTGGGGTCGAAAAAGTGTTGTTACTTCACATGACTCCTAAAATAACTCCAACAATGTGGTCCGAACACGGTTAAATAATTAAAAATCTCACTTTTTCTGATTAATGGCTCTTTAAGGATTTAAAGGAAATATGAGATTAACACTATTTAGTTGAGTACGCTAACTATGTTGTTTCGGATTTTCATTTTTAATTATTCGTGCGTAATAACTATTTTCTATACTTAGATCTCACCCGATTGCCAAAGGCAACTTTAACAACTACCTATTTCATCTATGGATGTTCATACCTAAAATATAAAATTTATCTGCGTAGATTTAAAAGCATGTGCTTGGCCACCATTAGAAAGAGAGAAAGCACTGGCCTGCTGCCATTTAGGCAGGCCAGCATTAAACTACGGGCTTTCGACCTAATTAGTTCTCATTATGGGTTAATATTTTTGGACCCCAACCTACTTTAGTACGTACATGTTTTGTGTCAATGACATAAACAGAAAGAACTTGTAGATGCTGCAATTGATTTGAAATTTGATGTCGTCTCCTGTTTTTGTTTCTTGAGGAATGGAGTGCGGCAGTGGAGGAACTCATGGCAGGATGGAGCGTTAGGCACGAATTGTCCAATTCGACCGGGGAAAAACTTCACTTTTATTCTCCAGGTGAAAGATCAGATTGGTAGCTTTTTTACTTCCCATCACTTTTACTCCATAAGGCTGCTGGAGGATATGGTAGCATAAGAATCTGGAGCCGCCCTAAGATCCCAGTACCTTATCCAGACCCTGCTGGTGATTTCATGGTACTGGCTGGGGACTGGTATAAGAGAAATCACTATGTAAGAAATCTGTATCCGAACGGAGTTACTTGAACCTTATTATTTGGAATATATTGTGTAATTGATTTTTCATTTCTTCAGGTATTGAGACGTTTCTTGGACAGTGGACATAACCTTCCCTTCCCTGATGGGCTTATTATTAATGGTCGAGGGTGGAATGGATACACATTCACGGTTGATTCTGGCAGGACATACAGATTTAGGGTATCAAATGTTGGGATCGCCACTTCAATTAACTTCAGGATCCAGGGTGTTGGAATGGTGATATGCAAAGAAAGCAGTATTTCTGGAAACTTGCTTTTCATTGCTGAATTACATTCAATTTATACATTGTGTGCAGCTGTAGCTAACTGTTTCACTAACAGTTTTGTTAACGGACTGCTAACTAACTAACAACTGACCCATTTAGCTAATGCCACGTGTATAGTACAGTTACAGTCGGTTATAGCTGGCTAAGAGAATATTTGTTTCTGCTGATGACTTGCTTCTGCTGCTTCTGCTGGACTGCCAACATTCTCCCTACCTCTTCTCGCCTTCTTGTTAAAAAGCACAAACGCACACTTTGGACCGGAATTCCTCAAAACCAGCTCGAGCAAGCGGCTTGGTGAATCCATCAGCAGTTTGGTGCATCGCAGGAACATAGCTTACACATAGCTGGCCAGCTGCTACTTTCTCACGAACAAAATGAATGTCCAGGTCCACGTGCTTGGACTGCGCATGGTAGACGGGATTAGCACTCAAAGCCACTGCACTGGTGTTATCGCACCAGACAACCGGTTCACGATCCTGCTGGATTCCGAGATCAGTTAGGAGCGCACTTATCCATGCTATATCGGCTGCTGCGTCCGCTACACTTTTATATTCAGCTTCCATAGTGGATCGGGAAACTTTCCTTTGTTTCTTGGAGCACCAGGTAACCAAACATTTACCTAGGAAAACTCCATACCCGGTTATTGACCTTCGATCATCGATGCTGGCTCCCCAGTCCGCATCAGCGAAGGCAACCACATTCAATCTGCTGTCAACAGGTGAAAATAACAAGCCAAAGTTCAGTGTTGCACCTAGGTACCGAAGTATCCTTTTTACTGCAACATAATGTGCTTCTCGTGGAGCTTGCATAAATTGGGCAACTTGAGCCACACTAAACGATATGTCTGGTAGTGTATGACATACATATAACAGTGATCCCACTATACTTCTATAGTCACTAGCATTGCTTAGAAGCTCACCTGCTTCATGAGAAAGTTTGGGCGACACCACCATAGGTGTGGCACATCCAGTAGCTGTCGACATCCCTGTTTTTTCCAATAGTTCAAGCACATACTTCTTCTGGCTCAAGAAGAGTGAACCATTGTTACGTTTGACTTCAATGCCCAGGAAGAAGCTCAATTCACCCAGGTCCTTAAGTGAAAAACGTTCTTGTAGCATGGTTACGGCTTCTTGAATTAAGTTAGACGACTGACCAGTGACAACTATGTCGTCTACGTATACCAATATATAAACTTGTCCTTCATGAGAATTCTTTACAAACAACGATGGATCAGCTCGAGAAGCAGTGAACCCCATTTGTAAAAGGTTATCTTTGAGTTTCTTATGCCAGTTGCGAGGAGCTTGTCGAAGACCGTATAGTGCCTTATGAAGTTTGCAAACGAGAGGCTTAACATCCTCGTCAAATTGCTCAAAACCAGGAGGTTAACGCATATAAACATCCTCACTGAGATCTCCATTAAGAAACGCGTTGTTTACATCAACGTGTCGAACCTCCCATCCTCTGGAAACAACAACTGCAAGGACCGTATTGAACGTTGAGAAACGAACTACTGGGTTGAATGTGTCTCGAAAATCATACCCAAGAGTCTGAGAGAACCCCTTAGCAACTAGTCGAGCCTTATATCGAAGAACAGTTCCATCTAGATTTTGTTTGATGCGAAAGATCCATTTGCATCCGACTGCAGTTCTTCCTTCTGGTAGTGTAACGAGTGACCAAGTACCATTTTTAAGTAATGCATTATACTCTTCATGTACAGCCACAGTCCAATGAGGGGATCGAAGTGCTGCTGTTATCGTGGTCGGGATATCATCATCCTCAGCAGCCAAGAAAACTTTGGGTTTGAAGACACCATACCTACTACGCGTCATCATAGGATGAATTTGTGATGAAGGTCCAACATCACTTGAATTTGCAGCATCATTGGAATTGGCGCCAGCAGTGGCAAGCTCACCAGTGTTGGTGCCATAGTTTAATGCAGACTCAGCGCCAACAGTATCGGGAACACCATCTGTGTGTTCATGAACACTATGATCATGATCAGTGGGAGCAGTCATACCATTGGATTCAGTGGATTCAACATTTCCCGATGCAAAGTTGTTTGAAGTGCCTTCAGACTCGCTGTTCACAGTAGCTTGTATTGCACTGCTTGGGTTATCACGTGTGTTTGAAGGCCTTGTACTCCTTAAGCCTGCAACAACTCGAAGAGGCTGGGATGACCAAGTGCCTGAGTTTGTAGGTACACAGGAGTTGTATTTTTCTCGGTCTGCAAAAGGAAATACAAATTCATTAAACACAACGTGTCTAGAAACATAAACTCTTCCATCAAACGCCAAGCACTGAAATCCTTTTTGTCGGGGGCTGATTCCCAGGTAGACGCAGGATTGAGATCTGAAGGAGAGTTTGTTCTTTTGAAATGGTCTGAGATGAGGAAAGCATTGACAACCGAAGACTCTCATCATGGAGTAGTCTGGTTTCTTTTTATATAGCTTCTCAAAGGGAGATATCCCATGTAGAACTTTAGTAGGGAGCCTATTTATCAAGTGAACTGTTGAAATAACAGCATAGGACCATTATTTTACTGGTAGTGATGCTTGGGCTAGCAAGACAAGTGCTAGCTCTATGACATGTCGATGCTTTCTTTCAACGACCCCGTTTTGCTCGGAGGTGTGTGGGCATGTCAAGCGATGTGAGATTCCTTCACTCGCCAATACACGTGATAGAGATCGAAATTCACCTTCCCAATCAGTTTGTAGGGCTTTAATTGAAGTACCAAACTGATTTGCTACAATCTTTTGAAACATTCGAAATGCCAACACTGCTTCATCCTTACTTTTTAACAAATAAATCCAAGTGTGCCTTGTGAACGCATCTACAAATGAAACATAAAAGTGAAATCTATTTGATTGCTCATGAAGGGGTCCCCATAAATCTGAGTATACAAGATCAAAGAGATCATTGACTGAAATATTTGAATCAACAAAGGGTAGCCTATGGCTTTTTCCCATATGACAGGCTACACAAAGCTTATTTACATTAGAATGCACCTTGATACCTATTTCATTAGCTAGTTTAACTAATGTGTCAACTGCTGGGTGACCAAGGTGTCACGGACTTAGCCTAGTTGGTTCGGTTGCTAATCCGTGTGGCACTCGAAAGGGACGCTTCCCAACCAAGTCAGCCTTAATCTCGTAGATCTGATCAAGCATAAACAAACATCGCGTTAGATCTTTATAGCCGCATGGTCCTTCGACCAATAATCCGAGCCCGTGGGGCATAGCGGATGCACACCTCAACCCCCGGACTTCTCCGAGAGAAAAATGTTTTATTAATAAAAGAAATATCGGGTTACAGAAGACTCACCCACACCACCGATTAGGCCGTAGGGGCGGCCCTCGATGGTGTTCACAAGATACGTACCTTTACCTGTGGATCAGCCCAAACTCTGCCGGCTGTCCACCCCCTACATATATGCGAAAACAAAATAACAGAAATGCTACCTATAGACGTTGAAATGCTCGAACAGGGGACAGTAAGTCATACCCCTACTCCCTACCTAAAACATTAAAATGCTTGAAAAGAGGACAAGCTTATTCTACCCTGCCACTAGGCCCTATACATGGTTGGCCTTGGCGTACCTACCCGGTTGTGGCCCCATAAAAGGGACGGTCACGACAATCTCCCCCACCTAATTTGTCGACGTCCTCGTCGACTGCTTGGCCTGAAACTCTTCAATCTGTTGCTTAAATGCCCTGAGATCATACTCTCTTTCCCAAGTGTTCTCTTCCTGATCAAAGCCTCCCCACTTGACTAGATACTCCCGTCTTTGCTTTCCACCCACCTTAACAATTCTCCCTGCTAGAATCTCGTCAACATGACGCTGTGAGGGTGGTTGTGTGCCGATTGACTCCCTGGCAGACATACTCTGATTATCGATATTGGGATCAGTGTGAAACGGCTTCAAATTGCTCACATGGAAGACAGGGTGAACTCTCATCCAAGTAGGAGGGTCAACTTTGTACGAAGCATTCCCCACCTTTGCTATTATTGAGACTGGACCCTCGTACTTACGCACCAAGCGACTATCCCTCTGGCGTAAAAATCTAAGTTGTTCTGGCATCAACTTGACTAGCACCAAATCTCCAACCTGAAAGTGTAGGTCTCGCCTGTTACGATCTGCGCATTTTTTCATACGTTTCGTTACTTTCTCTAAGTAAGCCTTGGCAATCTCCATATTCTGCTTCCACTCCCCCACAAAATTTGAGGCACGAGGGCATCTACCTTGAGAGGTCTCATCCACAGTGTGAGGAAGTCTTGGCTACTGACCTGTCACCAGTTCAAAAGGGCTTTTATTAGTAGACGAACTCTTTTGTGAATTAAAACATAATTGCACCACATCCAATAATGGAGGCCAGTTCTTCTGATTGGCCTGAATAAAGTGCCTCAGGTACTCCTCCAAGAGTCCATTAAATCGCTCAGTCTGACCATCTGTTTGAGGGTGGTAACTCGACGAAAAGTTGAGTTGTGTCCCTAATAACTGGAACAATCCTTTCCAAAATTTCCCAATAAATCTTCCATCTCGGTCACTGACTATGCTCTGAGGAATGCCCCAATATTTCACCACATGTTTGAACACCAACTTAGCAGTCTCTTCCGCCGAACAATACTTTGATGCTGGTATAAAAGTGGCGTACTTCGAGAACCTGTCCACTACCACCAAAATTGATCCAAGATCTCCTACTCGAGGCAAGCGTGATATAAAATCCAAGGAGATACTCTCCCAAGGTCGGGCGGGTACGGGTAGTGGCTCGAGCAACCCAGCAGTCCTCTGTCGATCTACCTTATCTTGTTGACAGATAAGACATGTCTTGGTGTAATCCATCACATCTTGGCGCATTTGAGGCCAATAATACCCTTGTCCCAACAAAGCAACAGTACGCCTCCAACCCGGATGCCCGGTCCATGGGGTATCATGACATTCCTTCAACAGCTTCTGTCGTAGATTTCCAGCTCGAGGAACAAACATTCGTGGCCCCTTTGTCATCAATAAGCCATTTTCTATCCAAAAACATTTCGAAACACCCTTTTTAACCATCTCCATAAGGGCCTCCACTTGCGGATCTTGCTTGGAAAAGTTCACAAGGAGCTGACGAATTTCATTGGACACTCTACTAGCGGATATAGGGGCCACACATCGGAGTGTTGCCAAATCTGCCCTGCGACTCAAAGCATCAGCAACCTGATTCTTTTTCCCCGCCTTATGCTCAAAGTTGAAGTCAAACTCGGCCAGAAACTCTTGCCATCTAGCTTGCTTTGCTGTTAGTTTCGGTTGTGTAAGGAAGTGGCTAACTGCTGTATTATCGGTCTTTACCACAAATTTGGAACCCAACAAATAATGCCTCCAAATCCTCAAGCAATGAATTACTGCGAGAAGTTCTTTCTCTGGAGCCGTATATCTCACTTCAGTTTCATTTAGCTTCCTACTCTCAAACGCCACGGGATGTTTGTCTTGTAAGAGTACGCCTCCAATTGCATAGTCGGATGCGTCTGTCTCTACTACTAGAGGTTTTTCCAGGTCTGGCAAGGTAAGCACTGGTTCACTGATTACAACCTTCTTTAAATCGTCAAAGGCCTCTTGGCAGTCCTTGGACCAAACCCACTCGCAGCCTTTCTTCAGCAAATCGGTGAGTAACTTTACTCTACGAGAATAACCTTCTACGAATCGTCTATAATAATTGGCCAAACCAAGGAAAGATCTAAGCTCACTAACATTTTGTGGGGTCGGCCACTCCTGGATAGCCTTCACCTTCTCTTTATCCATACGAATGCGCCCTCGTTCAATGATGTGGCCCAAAAATTGGACTTGCGTTTGGGCGAAAGCACATTTCTCCTTCTTCACAAACAACCGATTTTCCCGTAATCTCGTCAGCACCAACCGAAGATGCTCCAAGTGCTCTTCTATCGAATTGCTAAAAATCATTATATCGTCCAAGTAGATGACTACGAATTTATCGAGATAGTCATGGAACACCTGGTTCATTAAAGTGCAGAAAGTAGCGGGAGCATTGGTTAGTCCAAAAGGCATAACGAGAAATTCAAATGCTCCATACCGAGTTACACATGTCGTCTTTGGCTCATCCCCTTCGGCCACTCTCACTTGATGGTATCCCGACCTGAGATCCAACTTCGTGAAATACTTATCATTACTCAGCTGGTCGAACAAATCGGCAATCAACGGAATGGGATATTTATTCCTGACAGTCACTTTGTTTAATGCTCTATAATCAACACATAATCTCAAACTCCCATCATGTTTTCTCTGGAATAACACAGGTGCCCCGAAAGGTGACTTCGAGGGTCGAATAAATCTTGCTTGGAGCAACTCATCCAACTGTTTCCTCAACTCTGCCAACTCCGGAGAACTCATCCGATATGGGCATTTCGCAGGAGGTTTTACTCCCGGAATTAATTCAATCTCATGGTCCACCAACCATCTAGGGGGCAACTCTTTCGGCAATTCACCCGGCATTACATCCTCAAAGTCTCTCAGCACTTCTTGAACATTCCTGGGCACCATGACAAGATTGTCATCCTCTTTGGAAATTGGAAAGACTAAGAAGGAGGGCTCCCCCTTTTTCACCCCTCTCTTAAATTGGATAGCGGACAATATCTTCTTCCCAGGACGAGGGAGAATCGTAGCTGGTACCACACATGGCTGCTCCCCCATAAACATTAAACAACTTGATGCCGGAACAGGAATCACCTGGGATGCCATCATAAAATCGAGCCCTAATACCACGTCAAAATCATCCATATGGGAAACAGTGAAATCTACACTTCCTTCCCAAGACCCAAGCTTGATACTGACCCTCTTCACACCTCCACATATCATTGAAGCGGCATAGTTAACTGCTTTCATTTGTCCCACCTCCTTGGTGACAATCAACTTACATCTCTCCGCTTCCTCAGGAGAGATAAACGTATCTGTGGCCCCTGTGTCGACTAGAGCTTTAGAGGTTTTCCCATTTACTGAGATGTCCACATACATCAATCCCCTCTCTGGTTCTTTCCTCAAGTTACTCAACTGAGACTGTAATGCAGTTATGAATCGGATGGAGCCCATTCTAGCCAGCTCAGGCTCAGTATCTCCCATCGGAGCGTTCACTCTTTCTCCGTCCTTTGTTGTTGCAACCATGGCATTAAAAGCACTTCGTTGTGGACACTCTGCAACCCGATGAGGTCCATTGCAAAGAAAACACCTTAACGAGGGTCTATTCCCTCCATTGCTCGATCCAGAACCAGTAGGGACTTTATTTTGAGCTGGGTCCCTTCCAGGGACTCTTCTATTTGCTCCCCAACTCGATGTCTTCTCCCCTCGAGCCAACTTGTTCCCACTAACCTGTTGGGTGTTATCTCCACTCACAGAAGGCGTCTTGCGCTTTCCAGGATGATCGTTATAATCATTAAGGCACTCGGCAGCAGCTATCGCTACTGTCAAATCTTGAACCTTCTGTCTCTGCAACTCGAGTCTAGCCCATGGCTTGAGCCCTTCAAGAAAATGAAACAACTTATCTCTTTCTGACATATCCTTTATATCCAACATCAAGGTTGAGAACTCTCTCACATACTCCCGTATAGTCCCAGTGTGGGATAATTCCCTTAGCTTCTTACGAGCGTTGTAATCAACATTCTCGGGGAGGAAGGAGGTCTTCAACTCCTTCTTTAACGCATCCCAAGTCGTAATGGAGCACACTCCATCTTTGAACTTGGACCGCCACCATAACTTGGCGTCCCCACCTAGATACATCGAAGCCATTGCCACCTTATCTTCCTCAGACTCCGTGCGCATAGCTCGAAAATACTGCTCTATGTCAAATAAGAAATTCTCAAGCTCTTTAGCATCCCTCGCTCCATCAAAGCGTTGAGGATAAGGGATCTTGGCTCGTATGCCCACTCTTTCAATAGGGTTTACGGTCAAACTAGCTACCGCTGCCTGAAGCACACTAACTTGAGCCTTCAGCTCATCATACCCAAGTTGTATCACGCCTATGGCATCTCTTGCCTCATTGCCCAAATCAGTCACTGTCTCGAGCAAATCTTCTTGGGTCTCCTCTACTCTCCTCATACGATCACCAGATATCATATGAGCTCTAAGGGCAGCTAGTGCGGCTTCGATCTCTTCTAGCTTCCTTCGATCAACCGAACCAGTCTCTTGCACAACTGGCTCGGTAGCTTTCTGCTCTACACCTCTGTGAGAGCTTGTCGATCCGCCATTTCGTGTGCGAACCATTCTTGGTGCAACCGGCTCAGTAACTTCCTGCTCTACACCTCTGTGAGAGCTTGTTGCTCCGCCATTTCGTGTGCGAACCATTCTTTGTAACTCGCTGGCACCTCTATGCCTGCAACACAAATAAGCACAATCGTGCCTAAATTAGGAAGGAAAAGAGCACCGCTGTGCTGAATCCATAGCACCTCTGTGCTAAAATTAACGATTGAGCACCTCTGTGCTTCAATCGAGAGCTGACACCTCTGTGTAGCCAAAAGTGATTGAGCACCTCTGTGCTTCAATCGAGAACTGACACCTCTGTGCAGTTAAAAAAAATGACTGAGTACCTCTGTGCTTCAGCCGGGAGCTGACACCTCTGTGTAGCTAAGATGATTGAGCACCTCTGTGCTTCAATCGAGGACTGACACCTCTGTGCAGCCAACTATGACTGAGCACCTCTGTGCTTCAATCTAAATTCTGGCACCTCTGTGCATTGGAATGATTGAGCACCTCTGTGCTACAATCTAAAATCAAGCACCTCCGTGCTTTTACAAATGACCGAGCATCTCCGTGCTGCGGCCTGAGGCGAAGCACCTCTGTGCTAGGTTTAGCACTTGTGCACAGCTGTGCCACAAGCAGGTAACAAGCACTATCATGCTTTACTCAACAAAATGAGCAACTCCGTGCTTTTAGTAAATGAACACGCACCTCTGTGCTCTGATACCAAGTGTCACGGACTTAGCCTAGTTGGTTCGGTTGCTAATCCGTGTGGCACTCGAAAGGGACGCTTTCCAACCAAGTCAGCCTTAATCTCGTAGATCTGATCAAGCATAAACAAACATCGCGTTAGATCTTTATAGCCACATGGTCCTTCGACCAATAATCCGAGCCCGTGGGGCATAGCGGATGCACACCTCAACCCCCGGACTTCTCCGAGAGAAAAATGTTTTATTAATAAAAGAAATATCGGGTTACAGAAGACTCACCCACATCACCGATTAGGCCGTAGGGGCGGCCCTCGATGGTGTTCACAAGATACGTACCTTTACCTGTGGATCAGCCCAAACTCTGCCGGCTGTCCACCCCCTACATATATGCGAAAACAAAATAACAGAAATGCTACCTATAGACGTTGAAATGCTCGAACAGGGGACAGTAAGTCATACCCCTACTCCCTACCTAAAACATTAAAATGCTTGAAAAGAGGACAAGCTTATTCTACCCTGCCACTAGGCCCTATACATGGTTGGCCTTGGCGTACCTACCCAGTTGTGGCCCCATAAAAGGGACGGTCACGACAAGCGCCTATGCCAGAGGTCTTCTGTCGAGTGGGAAGTTGAGCAGCTATTAACTTCTGCGAGATTAACTCCTAACGAACTGCTGTCCATAGTGAACGAGTATTAAGTTCTTAGTTATTTGTGGAACATGCAGCAAATCCTTGAGAAACAACATGCGCGAAGTGGTATTTATATGAGAGTGACCAACCAGGTTAACATCGAGTGACATGCCATTTCCAACAAGAAGCTTACCTGGACCAAGAAATTCTGTTGAACTCAAGACATTATTAGAGTCTGCGGTCACATGGTGTGTGGCACCAGTGTCTACCACCCAGCGATCTGAGGACATGGATGAGGTATTTGCTTGTGGTTGAACGGCTAAAGATGAGGCAGACTTACGTTTGGCGCAACATTCACATCCAGTATCAGAGGGTGAATTGTATGTTGAAGAAGCTGGTCGACGGTCTGACTGATTGGATCCACGAGTTGATGCAGTTACACATGAAAAATCCTCATCAAATCTGTGCCAACACCGGTCTACAAGGTGGCCTATTTTTCCACAGAGTTGACATTGCATTTTTGATTTACCACGGCCTCTACCACCTGTTTGAGCTCCAGACCTTGAATCATAACCTGAGTTAGAACTTACTGAGTTGCGAATTTCCCCTTGAGCAACATTTACATTCATTGGTAAGGTTTCCAATTGATCTTCAAAACTGGCGAGTTGTGTTTCTGCATCAAGAAGCATGGTGTAGATGTTATCCAAGGATAAAGACTCTCTCATTGAGGTTATAACAGCCATGAAGGGTTGGTATTCCCGTGGAAGGCCTTTGAGAATGCTTGCAATATGCTCGACTTGAGGTATTGCACTGCCGCAAGAGGCTAAGGCATCACAAACCTTCTTCACCCGAGTAAGGTATGTACGCATAGAGTCACCTCCTTTCTTTAGAGACTGAAGTTTATAGTGAAGACTCATCACTGCCGTAGTGGAGCGATTGGCGAAAAACTGAAGAACAGTGTTCCATACGGCTGTCGCAGTTTCAGCTCCAACAAACTGAGGAAGAAGATTATTGCTAATCGTTGATAGTAACCAGGAGGCGATAGCACTATCCTGTGCTATAAACTCTTCATAGGCTTCATTGACTCGTGTTATGCCATCATCATCGACAGTCGTTTCAGGTGGAGTTGCCACAGCACCGGTGAGGAATCTTTCTAAACGATGGCTCCGAATTGTAAGCAGAATCTGTTGTTTCCAAAGCAGAAAGTTCATCTCATCAAGAATGATATTTACTTTCTTGTGAGTGAACGACTTTGCATTGGCAGGAAACTCCATTGAAGGAAAACTTTAAGCAGCGTGGAGGAAGATCCCAAGATCTTTGGCGAGAGATACCATGTTGGAATGGTGATATGCAAAGAAAGCAGTATTTCTGGAAACTTGCTTTTCATTGCTGAATTACATTCAATTTATACATTGTGTGCAGCTGTAGCTAACTGATTCACTAACAGTTTTGTTAACAGACTGCTAACTAACTAACAACTGACCCATTTAGCTAATGCCACTTGTATAGTACAGTTACAGTCGGTTATAGCTGGCTAAGAGAAGATTTGTTTCTGCTGATGACTTGCTTCTGCTGGACTGCCAACACAGGGGCACATGCTGAAGCTCATAGAAGTAGAAGGATCACATACAATTCAGAATATCTACAGCTCTTTCGATATCCATCTCGGACAGTCATGTTCTTTCTTGGTCACTGCTGATCAGGTGCCACAGGATTACTATTTTGTGGTCTCATCCCGCTTCACTCGTCGCATTCTCACAACAACGGCCATTCTTCACTACAGCAATTACTAAAAGGGAGTTTCTGGTCCAGTTCCTGGGGCTCTCACGATTCAAATTACTCCGTCGGTCATGCAGGCGAGATCCATATGGTAATTTATTAATTATGACCTTTCTTGAATCTGTAATATAATCTATAAACATTTAGCTGATAAGTTTTTTTTCCTTATACCAGACGGAACCTAACAGCGAGTGGACCTAGACCTAATCCGCAAGGCTCTTACCACTATAGAATGATCACCCCAAGCCGCACCATCTTGCTCGCAAATTCTGCTCCTTATATTAATGGAAAGCAGAGGTATGCTGTCAATGGCGTCTCGCATGATCCAGCAGATACTCCATTAAAACTAGCAGATTACTTCAATATTCCAGGAGTCTTCAATCTCGGAAGGATTCCTACCTGGCCTAATTCAGGAAATAATGCCTACTTTCAGACTTCTGTCATGGCAGCCAACCTCCGAGAATATGTCGAAATAGTATTTCAAAACTGGGAGGACACCGTGCAGTCATGGCATATCGATGGTTATTCCTTCTTTGTTGTAGGGTAAAGTTTATTTTAATACTTGTTCTCTGGGTTCATGTTTCTATGTATGATCAAATTTGTTAAAAAAATGTTGGATGAAACAGGATGGAAGGAGGCTAATGGACGCCTGCCAGTAGAAAATGCTACAATTTGTGAGACACGGTATCCCGCTGCACTACTCAGGTATGCAAATGCGATATACGGATTGTTGTGTTTCCATGGAAGTGTTAGCTTGAAACACGGTTAATGCATTTGCAGGTGTATCCGAGGTCGTGGACCGCCATCTACGTGGCTCTGGACAACGTGGGGATGTGGAATATAAGGTCAGAGAACTGGGGCAGACAATATCTAGGGCAGCAGTTTTATCTCAGGGTATAATCGCCTGCAAATTCATGGAGAGACGAATTGCCCATCCCACGGAACGCTCTCCTCTGTGGCCGGGCCAGAGGGCGCCATACCAGGCCTTTTTAATTTATGTAAACATCACAATGACATGAAGGGGTGGTATGGGCTATGATGAACAAAATTGAAGTTATTGTCTGCGGGAGCTCAACTTGATTTTTTGAGCCAATTCTTTGTTCGCTTTCAACATTTTCTTGTTTCTATGAGGTCATTAACCACGTGTAAACCTCATCCTTTTTTCATTTCAGATTGCCCCGTCCATTCTTTTCCCGGAAAACATCAGAATTGTATAATATTCTTCCATGTTTTTCTTTTCCTTTTTGATTATATGAATATTCTTCCAATTATAGGCTCTCCATTCCTGTTTTGCTACTAAAATTTGTTCCAAGCAGATGATTAGTAGTTTTTTTAACAATTACAATCTGATGTCATTTAATAAAAGTAATGGAAATAATCAAAATTATTATGCATTCTAAGAGAAAATTAGGGATAACAGTCATAAAAAGCCCAACGATAAAACAAAAATGTAAAAGCCAAAGATACAAAGAAAAATAAAATCTTATATTGAAAAACAAGTCCAACATCAAAAGAACTCGTTAACCTTTATAAAATTATTTCTCTATCAAATGGGACTCTTCACAAAGTGATAAACTAAGGGTGAACGACCCAAACAATTTGACAAACTATTTTATTACACAACTTTGATTATATCGACAAATTAGTTTTTTCCAAAGAGGGGCCCGATAATGCGTGATTATCGACAAACTAACAAAAATAAATATCGTGAGAATCTTTGTGCGAGCACCAACATGAACATAGAAGTATGCGGAAAACGTATCAAAAATCATAAGGAACGTGCCACAAAAATGAAGAAAAAACATGTTACAAGAGCGGAGAAAATTATGTCAGTACAAAGATTCTTATTTTTAAAAAAATCAAGAAAAAAAATAAAGAACATAGTATGAAAAAGAACAAAAAAAAATAACAATCATTAATAGTCAATAACTAATATTAAAATTAATGTCATCGGTAGCTAACAAAAAATCAAAGGAAAAAAAAAAGAAAAATATTGAGGGAACTTATTACTAACTTTCGGAAAAAAGAAAAAAAATAAAAAACGAAATATGACAGCAAGGTGACATCAATATTTCAGGATATGAACTTATTGTGTCTTTCTCAAATAAAAAAGAAAAAACTAAATGTTAGATATGCATTTAAGCCTACATATATTTATAAATTAATATTTATATTTTCTAATTTTGAAAATGTAACATAAATTCATATTATAAAAATTATTTTATTAAATTTATTGATTTGAATCATTAGGTTTGAACTTTTAAATATAAAGAAGTATGAGATATTAAATTTCAAAAAAGCAAAAATAAGAGACCTAAATGTTGAATATACTCGAAGTATAGAGGGTTAGAATATATATAGTGGAGTAATTATTTGTTCAAAAACTAGTTTTTATTAACATAATTCCTACTTCAATCCAACGGCACCGGACATCTAACCCTCCGTCTATCCAACTATCTAGCAGTGCAAGGGAATTTGGTCCCCATAAAGTCATTTTCCCCTTAACAGAAACCCAAGTTTACTCTCAATCCCCAGACCATTGCCTTCCAAGAAGAAGATTGGAACGGCAAATGTCCAGATCATCATCGGCGTCCATGATGACGCGGTTTCCATCTACCAATCCAGAGGACTACAAGCACAGCCCTGTCCATTACGCGGTCGTTTTGGGAGATGATTTTACTTTGACTCGTCTGGTTTCCACTCTTCCAAAGCTAGCTGATCCTGCTCTCGCATCCTTCGAACAGCTTTCAAAGTAAGTACATTTCCGTTTTAGAATAGGGATCCGATCTTCTTCTTCTTTTTTTGACCTGAGTGATTTTCGGGTAAGGTGGATCTTAGTAGTTTTTTTTATTATTATTGGTTTAGCATTTTGGCTAAACATGACGAATATTTGTTTGGCGTGGGGCAGCTTGCAATTCCGGTCGACCCAACAATAAGGGGCTGATAACCTTCACAAAATTTGTTGAATAATCAACTGATCTACACTCCGCTCTCAAGTCCTGGACCTTTTTCCCAGGGCCCGAAATCAGGTAATAACCGTAATCCATCATTTCTGTCAATGTCTTCATCGTGGTCGTCGACAGCATGGTTAAGGCGAAGCAATAGTCAATCGGTGTCGGTGAGCAAACATTAGCAACAGCAAAGTGGTTCTTCTTCAACGGCACAACTTGCACATCCTTTTGTTACTCCTAGTGGTTATACGTGGACTACTGTTGATGACAAGTATAGTCTATTGAAGAAATCAAAGTGAGATGTAATGATACATTTGGTAAAATTATCGTCTGTCCAGATATTTGGCATCCGCTTTGGACGGGATTTGTTCAGAACTTTTGTTATAATTCTAACCTTTGATCTGCCATATTTTTAATGATCATCTTTGTAATAATGAGCATATCTAATGTATAATAAGAGCATGCATTGAAAATGATTTCACAAGCAATTTTAGTTTCGCTTGGATGATAAAGAAATAAATCAGATTGTGATGTTTATTTATCTTCAAGGAATCCAACTGAACCCTTTCTCTTTACTAATTCTGATCCAAGTTTAACCTTTCCCCTGTCAATAAACCTTTAAGTAACAAGGAACTATTTTAAAGTAAAAATACAAAATTCCAATATCAAAATAACATCATCATCCTAAAAATATAATATATTATGATTATTAGATGTTTTGATTAATGACGTAACTAAGAAAATATCTTAATAAATATATAAAAGGGAGGTCAAATAGAGATTGGAATTTCTAGTCAGGAAAAATGGGCTGGAGACAAAATTTAATTTTTTCCCCTCTTTTTCCCATGAAAAAAAAGCACCGTCCCAATACTTCATTGCCTATATACTCTTTTTAAATGCAATTCTTAGGTAAAATAATGAAAATAAAACAAGGCTTCAAATAATTTATAAAAGGGGCTACAAATGTTAATATTTAAATATCACCTCTCAAAGATAATTGCATGAATAAAAAAAAAGAATTAACATCAAATATTTTAAACATCAACGTGCATTATTTGTAATAATTTTAAAAAGGAAACAGGAATGAAGATGCTACAAGGAGTTTGCTTCGGATGATGGGAACAAGTGAGTTGGCAAGTCCTTTAAAAAAAATAAAGGAGACAAGGCCATCCCCTAGTGGTCCTTTTTCTCTTACGTTTTTAAAGGTTCTTGAGCAGAGAAATCCCATTATTGTTCATCTGCTGCTGTTATCAATTTGTTCTGGGGCACAGCAGCCATTGTTAATCATCAACAGCACCAGGTGCGTTCTAATCTCCTTCATACTCTCTCTGTTTTACTTTTTGCTTTGTATCATTTATGCTACGCATAACAAGTACTCTGGCTAAATCTCATTTCTTCTACATCATAGATCCTTCTTAGCTTCCATAGGGAGGATACATAGTCTCCTAACCTACCTCTGCAATTGCTTTTTTTTTATCCTATTTATATACTCTTCTTAAGCACTTATTATTATTTCGTATCAAAGCATGATAACATGTATGAAAAGGATTTGGTGAAACTTTTGAAATCACGATTTCATGGTACTCCAACAAAGGATCTATGTTTCAATTTGGCATTTTCTTGTGCTTTGATGGAATTAAAACAAGGTTATGATCATTGGGTATTGGTTTCACAAATTTGTTTTTGCTATGACTTCAAAGGATAACAAGGATCTATGGCGAGTGAGGCACCAAGCTGGGCTGATCAATGGGGTGCTGGAGGAATTGGTGCCATGGAAAATGAGGACGACACAGCTAAGAAAGAGAACGAAACCAAGAAGCCCAAAGGGAAAGGTGGCTTTAAAACAGCGGCTTTGAAGGGAGCCAACAACTTCAAGCTTGGGGTTTCCAAGGGCATAACATGGGTAAAGAGTAAATGCCAGGAAAGGAGTTCCCCCAAATGAAACTTCAAAAAAATCCACTAGAACAGATATGTAATTGCCAAGGCTTTGAATTTTGATGTATTCCTCAAATTCATTTGAGGGACTTGTATTCTCCAATTTAATGGCAACCTTAAAGCATAAAAGATAGTGATTATTGGGTAGGGAATATGACTGGATAACGTTCATTGGAGATGAAAGAATCATATCAAACAAATGATTTGTCTCCTAACATTTAAGAACATCCATAAGAATTCATGAATAATAACTGAAACTACTGTAAATTTACAACTGGAAATCACTGATAAAGTTGGATTCTGCATTCAAACTATAGAAAATAAAAAGTAGGAAATTCAGACAGTTATAGAACTGTCATTGTCAAGAACAAAGCACTGAGAATTTACACCTTCCTTTTAGCTATTTACGTAGATTGAAAGCATTATGCTTCAAGTAAAGAGGAACCAAACGTGTTCTCTCCACTGTAAGTCATATAAAGAAAACCATCTTCATCCTTGTTTTCCTCATAAATTGTAGACATCAAGGCAGCTGTAACCAAATTAAAAAAGAATTAGCCTCACAGACTGTGGAAGGTTAATAACACTTGAAGATAATATATCATCACTCACCAGTAGGAGGGAGGGTGTTGTTCACAAAGACAAATATAGCTTTTTCGGCACTAAGCTTAATCCTTTTACGGACAACATAAACAAATTGTCCGACAGTCAAATCAGCAGGAACTAGATACCTAAAGCCACAATAAAAAAAGAATTTTAAGAAAAAAGACATAAAAAGAATACCAGGGCAAGCTTGGCAAGTAATAGATTGAATAACTCGAATGGTGAAGCATTGATGTTTCCATGTTCAATATAAATAATAAATCAATTCACTTTAGAATAATAGCCTCCGGAAAACAAAATCTACAAAGACAACTTTAATCAGGGCAAATGCAACTAACTTCTTTTTATCAATATCAGGAACGTCGCTCTTTCCAGCCTTCTCAACAATAATCTGCATGGCTTCCCATAAGCAAAGATGAACTTTAAAAGAACAATGCAGGATAAAAAAATGTTCAAAAGAAAGGAGGATGGTAACTTAAATATTCTTACGGGAATTCTGTCAGGATATTTGGCCCTGATGCGAGCAACTTCATCCTGCCTCTTTTCTGAAAATTAGGAATTTTAGAAACAATAACATTTTGCAGTCAAATAGCATTACAAGCATTGACAGAAACAACAAAATAGAAATGCAAAACAAGAAGACACAGCATAACATGGAAACGGATTACGGACAAACATAAGCATTAGTGTAGCCAACAACAGACAACTTGCATGTCTTGCTCTTTTCAATAGAGTGCCCTTTAAGATATGTTGAAACGATGTAATATATCATTGATTTAACAAAGAGATGGCCTCAATTGAACCAGGGTTCAGTCCCCCAAAAAAATACCCAAATTGATTTTTAACACAACAAAAATTCAACCAAGCACAATTTTCAACAAAGTTCTAATACGAAAAATGAAGAGAAAGGGACCAGGAAAAAAAAAGGATCAACGAAGCTAACCCAATGGATGCTCAAGCTTGAAGGAACTTTTCGCCATTGCAAGACTCGGTCTCTTATTAGCCACTGCAAATTTCAAACATCGAAATATCAACTGAAAATATATATTTTTTCTAGATTGGAGAGAATAAAAAGAGAGAACATATCATAATAAAATCTGTCCAAAAAATACTTAGAAGAAAAATGAATACCGGACAAGAAAGGAGAGGCTTTGAGAAATTATGGTTTCAATTAAAAAACAGCTGATTGAATGATCGACCGGTAGGGAAGAAATGGATCGATTTCAAGCAGAGAAATTTATAATAATAATAAAAAAGAACTAAAATTTATAGAAGGAAGGCCACAAGGAAACCTTCTAAGGTTCAACTACTTGAATTGGAGCCCAACACGAAACCAAGATTGTTCCATCATTTATTAAAATATTTAAAAATAAATATCTTAAATATAATGTGATAATTATTTATCTATAACCTTCTGTGCTTCTATATAAAAATACAATTTTTGAGAAAACTTGAATAAATAAAAATACAATTCACTTTCTATTATATACTACTTGATATTTAAAAAATATTTTTTTAAAAAGATATCCATCGCTGTAAATTAAATTAATATACATTGTTATAAACATGCTATAATGTTTAACAAGAAAATCATATGTTAATATTTAATTTATCTATATTAAATAAGCAGATTGATTTATCAAAAAATAAATAAATAAACAGATTGAACCGATTCACATAATGATCCAAATTCAGCGTATCCTTGAGAAAATTAGTTAGCGTTAGTAAAGTTGATCGTTTCATCGCCTTATAAATAAATAAACAAATAGTGTTAATCATCACCATAAAATTACATATCAATAGCCATTAGTTTTTCACTCATATTTGTGTTTTTTCTACTATTTTATCATTTCATATAACATAATTAACAACGGTAAAAAGGATTTTGTTGCTCTGGAGAATGATGCATATTTCCCCTTATTTTGAAGAGAGCCTATTGCTTTATGATACACAAAAATGGATGCAACGTTGTTTTAAGGACTAAAACTATGGCAGTGAAAGATGGGTATCACTAAACAATGTACATGCTATTGGAGATGCTAATCATTTGCATCTTTGCTTTAGTACTTCTTTGCCGCATGATACAGCTCCATATAATCAAGCGCCCATGACCACCCTCTTACACAATGAGTGAAACCAGTCCCGACCATCGTACCAAGCAGAGATTGCCCTATATGGTTCAGTAATAAAATGAACAACTCGAATCAATCATATGAGTATGAACAGGACGAAATGAGAGAACTACAGCAAACACCATGTCTCCATGTGAATGAATTATGGGGACTCTGGAAACTAAATGACAGCGCAGGAATGGATGAACGACTGCACTTTCAACGGTGCTGATAAACTCACCTATTGAGGGCAAAATCGACTCCAGCACTATCAGCTCCGTCAAAATTGAATCCATTGGGTTCAAGACTTTGTGCTTCAGCTCGAGCTTTATCGTGGTCAACATCAAATACAGTATCATACAGTCCTTGAAACAAAAGTAAAGGCAACACAAAGTCAATACACTTTGAAATGATTGAATTCCCGAGAATAGAGGCTAAACAAGATTCATATAATATAACGTCTTCATTTTCCATACAAGAGAAGAAAAACTAAATGAAATCGGATGAAATTGTAGAACATAAGGGAAATCTTTGTCTGTAATTCATATTGGCTATAAACAGCAATGCCCACCGTAATAGTTCATCCACATATCAACAGTTCATAATCAAGACGTAGACGATTATCATTCATAGGTATCAGAATTACGGATGTAAGATGAGTAAGCACCTCCTGTTTTACGAACAACGGGTATGGAACCATATCTCATTGCTGTCAGTTGTGTCAGTCCAGAAGGCTCAAAAATAGAGGGAACCAGAATGAAATCAGCACCAGCATATATCTTTTAAAAATAGTCAAACAAGAATAAAAAATAAAGAACAGATTTAAACTGCTGAGGTCATATTGCAAAGCAAAATATAGGTATGCTCCTTCAAAGAATAATAATAAATGAAATAGACTTTGATAGTGCAAACCAAGTGAGAGAGAGGTTCATCATAGGTAAAAACAAGGCGAACTCGATCCCCATGAGTTGAATGCAGCTGATTGGCCAAATTCATGAAATCGTTTTGGATGCGAGGATCAGGAGCTGAGCCAAGTAGTACAACCTGCCACCAAAAATTCCATCAATCACTTACTAAGATGCATTAAGTACAAGTATACTGTCAAGGAGGCCAACAAGAGGCACTAAACTTCCTTGTTTATGCGTTAAATCAGAATACATCAGACAACATGATCTCTGAACTGCATTATGCAAGCACACTCATGTTAAGAATGCAAGAAAAAGGATGGCCAAGGAAAGTCCTAGGGAGTATCACATCAATTTCGCTACCATGAAACTCAGGCTGATAAAGACCAAATAGTGTGTAATCATACATGAGATCATGCAGGAGATGGTAAAAGGAGGGCAGGAGGGAACCTGTCCGTTGCGTTCTAAGGTGCGCCAAATGGCATGCTTGATAAGATGGATTCCTTTCTGGTGAGTTAAGCGAGAAATAATTCCAACCACAGGAAGACCAGATTTCTTCAAACCAAGCCTTTGCTGCAAGGCTTCCTTGGCAGCTTGTTTTCCTTCAACAACATTTTCTGAAGTGTAAGGTATCTGGAACAATCAGCATCTCACATTAAGAATAATAACAATTGCAAAAATAGGACAAAAGCTCATAGGATATTTATTTATAAAATAATGGTATATCTACTTGCAGGAAGGAACTTATCGTTGTATGGATCCCAAATATCTAAGTCAATTCCATTTAATATTCCATGGAACTTGTGAAGATTAGGAGCAACTGCAGGATTTCCCACAACCTCCTTTGCATAGGTGTGTGGTACCTGCATAATGAGAATAAACACTAAGACACCATCATAGAAACATGGAAGGTAAAAGACCATCAAATATCTTGTCTGAGATACCAAGCATGAATTGATACAATGTAGTATAGAAAATTATAATTTGACTGGACTGGAAGCATCAGAAAAAAGGTTACTACAGATTCATCACTAGATCAGTATATTCTAAATCTAGTGAATTAAACTCGATCATCTTTACAAAAACAATTCAAATTCAGAGAGAAAAGTAAAGACGGAAGAACTTTTCTTTGAAAAAAAGATTAAATTCATGAACCACCTACTGATTAGTTGTATCTCTTCAAAAGAAAATGGAGAGAGATAATGCCTATCGGTATGGAAGTGCCCCCAAGGACACGGTCCAAAATTGACCACACTCTATACCTTTAATTTAGATAAAGAGAAACAAGACAACCAAAAGAACCAAAATATAGTTAAAAACCCATGTGTAATTGATCATAAATACACTATTTATAAGAATATATCTATACATGTATATAGCTACTACATTAAATAAATTAAATTAGCCATAAGGAAATTTAGGTACATACAGTTGTAGCCTTGTCTGCATATTGCATAGCTTTCCCAATAAAGTGTGCTCCAAAAGGTTATGTATGGTGAAGACAACCTCAGTTTTGCTAAGACCATAATGCATGTAATGGTCCTTAAATAGCTACGCAACTGGGGCACTAGACCAGTCGTGGCAATGGATGATATCCTGCCAAAGGTCAAGCACACTAAAATAGTTAATCCTTGGAATTCCTTTTTCGTCCACACATTCAAGGAAAGAAAGTCTTTTAAGAAAATGGTATCCATAACATTCTTCTATGAATCAATTGAAGGGCCTATAGAGATGAACAAAAAAACAAGATGGGTATTGATAATAGCCAAAAATTACTGCCATGCATGTAGGAGGTTTGCATGATATACTGCCATGTATGGGCATTTAACTAGTTAACCAAAATGCAATCAAAATGTTGGCCCAGTGGCAAGAAACTTGTGAAGCATTAGAGCTTTCAAACCCAAGCATCACCACCCCATCCCCAAATTATCCAGTGTAGAAAAAAAAATTAAGCATAAATATAAGTTGAGTCTAAACTTACAGGCTGAAGTCCACCTTGGTGTAGAAATTCGAGAGCAGCATGACAAAAGAAGCCAAACCTCACTGCATCATTATTGCAACCATAAACACAACCTTTCCAGACAATTCTGCAAGCAACAATACACCAAAGCATTCATATGGCTGTAGTTTGCTTATTAAAATCAAACATTTTAATTCTTAAAGGTGCATAGAGATTATTAAAATTACCCATTTTGTGGCTCCAGAAAATAGACTGAAAGGCCTTCCACTTTACCAAACCAAACTTTTAACTTCAGTGCCACCCCAAGAATAGCTTCTTTGGTAATGTAAGTCCTTCAACTGTATCATAAAATATTCATGCGACAGATCTGAAATTACTAAAAGACAACTTCGATAAAAAATGAAAAGCAATGAATTTTTTTTCTTCTTATTTCCCTTTTCTCATTTTTTTATAAGTGGAGGCCTCGTTAAAAACCCCCTTCATGATTAAAGGAGCGCCAAGAGGATGCTCCTTAATCAACGGAAGGAGGAAAAGAGTGCCTCAAAATTCATTAATAACATAAAGATACATAATGTTTAAACAAACAAAAAACCCCTTACAACGACCAACCCGAAACACTCAAACAAACACCCTAAACAAAACAATAAAACTAACCAATACCAGCCTTAGCTAAACCATCAACCTCTATATTAGTTGTTCTAGCAACCCATCTAATAACACCTTCAATAACTCTTAACCTAGCAGCAATGTCCTTCACTAAATCAAAATAAACAAAAGGACATCTATCTAAATTCTTAACCCATTCCACTGCTAGTTTACTATCAGTTTCAACAATCAAATGATTCTTGAACCACTAACAAAGAGAATCAAAGAATAATAAACCCTTCTTAATGGCTTTAAGCTCCATCAAAGAAGGAGGACCTGGTCCAATAGCCTCTTTGAAAGTACCCATCACCGAACCATCCTCGTCTCTTAATAAACCACCTATACCGCTTTTTCTCCAATCCTTACTCACAGTTGCATCCACATTCAGTTTTACAAAGCCCTTTGGAGGAGGAAACCAAGGCACAATATTTAGAATCGAATTCCTGGAAGAAGAGCATAAATCTCCAATAGAGGGATCAATAATGAGAGAGTCCTTAGAAATAGCTACATCCTTGAACTTAGCTAAGAACCAAGAAGCGAACCTAAATCTTGCCATAAAGAATAGATCAATCTGATCTAACAATCTCCCTTCAAACACAATGGCATTTCTGAATTTCCAAAT